GGGGGTGGTGGCTTTCCATTTGGTTAACGTGGCTCGTTGCTTCCCTCACTTCACTTCCTTGCATCTTAGCTCCTTGGAGAGATGTGAGGAAGAGACGCAGGGATGGAGATGGCAATTACTCATGACGCACAACATCTTTAATGTTAAATGTGTAGAAATAATTAAGATGAAGAACAAACACATCATGCTCAACCCAAAACTTAAAAAAAAAAAAAATGGTGTGTGTAACTGTCCAAAAAGTACAAAAAGAGTTTGAACACCCAAATCAATGAGACTCATCCCTTTTATTCAGTTTTCAAAGAGAAACTAAAACACAGGGGAAATTCGCAGATGTTCTGGATATGCCTTCTTCACTGCACAATAGTCTTTCAATTCCATGACTAAGTCCTTTTAACTTCTCACCAACAATGGGTGTCCATCCAAGGATCACAAGGGTACCTGCAGAGGTGTCCTCAGACCTGCCTCACTGAAGCACACTGCAGAAACCATAAGTGTCTTAGATATTGGCATTGAAATCTAATTGATTGATCTAATTGACTTGGGTGTGTTGACCCGTTTTTTTACTTATGAGAAATAATTAAAGGTCCCATATTTTATAAAGTGAGATTTGCGTGTCTCTTTGGATTATAAAGCAGCTCTACGTTCTGTATTAATACTGTGAAAGTATCAAAGCGCTCAGTCCACAGAGAAATGCACGCAGCCTGTATTCAGAAACTGTGACTTAAAACGAGCCGTCAGGTCTTCTGTAACTTTGTGACGTCACAACAAAGCAGTCACCGCTCTCAGCCATGCCCCAAGCCCCGCCCACCAGGACCCACCATCGAACCTTGCAGTATTTGGTTTCTCTGCGTGTTTACCTGAAATGTGCTATATTTTTATTTGATCAGAAAATCACCGATCAGGAGATCGGCTGACTGACCTGTTGTTAGTAGAGCTCCAGAGAGAAACCTGAGAGAGGACATTTAAAACGTATAAGATGTAAAAAAAAAAGGGTCAAGCTTATTAAAGGACAATAATAAGAGTGACTGTGGAGCTGTATATTTTTTCTCAGAAAGCCAAGATGCATTTGGAGCAGCAAAGACGGAGGGATAGACATGGCTGATGGATAAAATGGAGACAGAGAGGTTTTATGATTCAATCACTGTAAAATTCATCACATCTAATCATTTGTATTTAATGAATAATGAATAACATTCGATCTGCTGTTGGAACTGTTGCTCTTGTTTCCACGGGTAGTTTGTTTCTAACCTACAGTGTTGCAATCATGCAATAAAATTGATATTCACAGTTATTACATTGAAAACCCATTCACACTGCGGACACTGCTTTCCAGTAAAAAAAAAAAAAATGTCTTCATACAATACACCTGTGGTTCCTCGCTCAGTGCTCCCACAGAGACCTCCTCTTTCCTCGGTCGATCAATTTCCAGGTCACAGGCTGCAGGATGGAGGAGTGAGGACAGGAGGAAGCACATAATTAGGTGGATGAAAAGCACCCTGAGTCTACTCTGGGGTCTCCTCTCAGTTAGACAAGCCCAGACTTCATCGACAGGGAAGGACTCACACTCCGAGGACGTCCTGACCAGACATATAAACTACATCAATTGGCTGTGAAGGAGCAGTGGCTCTACTCCAAGCTACCTCACCCAAAAGAGAGAGAATTATAGACGCTGTATCAGATTTAACCGCATTAGTGTGTACCCCATCTTCTCCCTCACTTATTTCCCTCCCTGCCTTTCATGTGCCCACAGGAGTTAAAGGGCCAGATGTCTCAGTTACGGCCCCTTCTGTCAGTGGTGGAGCAGTACAGATTGGACCTGCAGACGCTGGCCACCCTGCGACTGGAGCTCCTCAACCTGTCAATCATGCTGACAGCCATTCAGGAGGAGATCGGAGCGTATGACTACGAGGAGCTTCAGCAGAGAGTTTTACTGCTCGAAACCAGGCTGCACAGCTGCATGAACAAACTGGGTATGTAAGAAAAGATGTGATACAAATCACTCAGTGATACACAGTAAAGTGTTACTTAAGATGCCTTAAAATGGGAACCTATGAGGTTGTACTTTCAGCATGGAAAGTACATAAAATATCTGTGATTCAGGAGGTTTTAAGATATTTCTTTGCATGTTTTTGCAGTAAAAAATGGTCACTATTAAAATCCATTATAACTGCTGTGAATCCGAGCCTCGAGTTCAAATTCATTTTCAGTTTTAGTTTTTTAAAACATAATTTGTTGTGGTGTGTCACTTTAAGGTCTAAGTTGCATTTTGTAAACTGAACATTGGGTCAGGGTTTGGCAGCTAAAACACTTTATCAGGGACCAATAAATGCAATAAAAGAAAGCTTTTACCTGAATTTAAAACATCACTCAAAATCAAAACTGATTTAGAAAAAGGCGACTGTGAGTGGAACATACATACACACACATAACCAAACTGTTCTGACACACAGTTCCATCTCAAATGTCCTCGTCTTTCCCGTCATGTCTCTTCCATTTCATTGTTTTGCGGTGGGGAAACATGTTCAGTTTCCTGCTCGTGCTTGGGGCACAAACATATTTTTATATGAATAGAGTTCTTGAATTGATGGTAAATTGAGTTGAGGCGGCAGGTGATTACATGAATGTCATAAACAAGCTGGCCAGGTGACCTTGACAGACAATATCGCTCACTCCAAACCTGAAAATGTGAACACACACTGAGCATCTCCTCCGTTCCAGATTTAATATGAAACATTAATCATCTCTTAACAGGTTGTGGTCGTTTGACTGCAGTTAGCGGCCCGATCACCGTGAGAGCCTCTGGATCCCGCTTTGGCTCCTGGATGACTGACGCCATGATTCCCAGCTCCGACAGCAGGGTAGGTGTACAGTGTGTGTGTGTTTACGTGTGTGTGTGTTTGTGTGTGCATGACAAGTGCAGCAGGTGCCACACTCTATATTTTTCTTAATGTATTTCTTCTGTCTCTTTCTGCTTTACTTTTAACATGACTCCTGTGTGCACTCTGCCTCTGCTCGCTACAAGTTTCACCCATTTCCTACGAACACACATAGTCTGTTCAGGGAGCGCATATTAAGCTAGTTGTCAAGGCGACTGTCTCCCAGTTGCCAGGTGTGATTTATATCGCCATGGTGACCCTTGCCTGTTCCCTATTAGAGCTTCTCCCTGGTGATGAGAAGGAGCTATACACAGCAGCAGTATCCCAGTTATTGCCTCACGTTTCCCAGTAACCAGTCTGACTGTTGTTCCGGGGTTATGAGAACAGGAACCTTTTTTCTGTCTCTGTCTTCTGTGTTTCTAAGTCCGTGCATGACGTTCAGCAACAAATGCACTATATGCTCCTTCTGGATTTGTATTATGAATAAAAAATCTGTAATTTACTGAAGCCACTTTTATCTCGCTTTTTTCAGAGGAACCCGGTGGAGTTTTCTTGTAAACAAACAGTTATGTTTACATTCACTGTCTTTAACCAAAGTGTGTATCTTTGAGGCTCAACAAACATGTTGGATGCATCGCCTTCTTCATAAAACATTTGCAGAGCTGATTTTTAAAATGTTTTCAAACCTGCATTGTGGCCACTGTGGCTCAGGGGAAAGGGCAGGCCGTCCACTAATCACAGGTTAGACAGTTGGATCCCCAAACAGCTCCTCCGGTCCACATGTTGAAGTGCCTGATAGCTTGTTGCCATGGGTTTGTAAGTGTGAGTGTGTGTGTGCGTGTGTGTGCGTGTGTGTGCGTGTGTGTGTGTGTGTATGTGTGTGTGTGAATGATTGAATGAGCACCAAATTGTCAAGCACTTAGGTTAAAATTATTACATAAATGCAGCCATTTACCATTGTTTAAACCACGGATGAAGGTGCACTAGAGTCGTTCAAAGACGGTGCACCATTCAGTCTGATGAAAATTTCTTGCTGGGCATATATTTTTTTTATCCTGAAAAAGCGTCCATTTGCAAATGCTTCTGTGATTTTGGGCCCATGAGTCACGTTTCTGGCCACCTGATGAAAAACCTATTGTAGGTTTAAGAGACCAATTGCTGTTGTTGCATATTTTACCATTTTATAAACATGGTTTAAATTACATTTTCTTTACTGCTACTACTTTCCAAAGCACACAGTAGTGTTCATTGAAGTCTCTCATAACCCAAACAGTGATGTAACCAGATTATGTGAACGCTGCTGTCATGTCATTTATGTAGAGATAACCTTGGAGACCTTTGATATTTCATAGGGCCATTATTATAAGGTTACTGATATTGAATATCAGAAACATCAGCTAACTGGCAAACATAATTACATGTTATTTATTTTGTTTTCTGAAATAAAGTAAACCCCCCCCCCCCCACCACCCACACCCACACACAACACACAACAAATACACAACACACAACACCCCACAGCACACGCACAACCACACACACAGCGAGTCAAAATAAGTAAAATCATTCTCATACATCCTTTGGTATCCATGACTACAGTGTCTGCACAGGGTCCCAGTTTGGCATTTATGAATTCTTCATTAGCTCATCAGTGTGTGAATGTGTGTGCACATACATTATACTTTATACACTCAAACACACACACGCCTGCACACACATCTGTCGCCGTATTTGAGAACAGATGCTGAGGTGTGGATATCCCCTGATCTGTCAAGATGTCTTTGCTGATGGTGTGAGAGGGAGAGAGAGGATGAGAGAAACCCGGCAAATAAGAGAGAGAGCGAGAGCGGGAGTGGGGACGGTTGGTGAAGAGGTGTGAAGCAGGGACAGGAGATGGGAAAACGAAAGAGGGGGTGGACAGAAAACGTAAGAAACAAAGAGCGGGTGAAGGTTGATCAAAAGAACAACAGTCGGGACAGGCGAGCAGGATGGGATGAAAGAAGCAAAGGGGGGCGATGAAGAAGGAAGAAAAAACAGGAAAGAGCAAGTCAAGACAGGTTATGGTAGATGTTAAAGATAGGTTTGAATTTTTAATGGGTTATTACCTTCCCCCAAGGAGGTTATGTTTATCTGCGTGTGTTTGTTTGTTTATTTGTTTGTTTGTTTCTCAGCAGATTATGCAAAAAGTACTGAACTAATTTGTGCCAAAGTTGGTGGAGGGATGGGGCCTGGGCCAGCGAAGACCCCATTAAATGTTGATGCCGATCCGGTTTAAGAGCCAGATTAATGGAATTTTTTTATTTATTTTTTTAATCACTTTCCTCAACGTTGTGAGATTTTAATGTTTGGATCTTGATGTAAAAAAAAATCTGACATATTTATGGTGTTGAGATCTATGACTTTGTACAATTTGGTGACAGGATTGTTTGGCTTTGGTGAAGATATGCGCCGCACTGAGAGCCATTCAAGTTGTTAAATGTTCTGGGTCACTGGGCATTAAGTCCGAAAACAGCTCTGTGTTAAATGCTGGTTTGGTGGGTCGTGTAGTTTGAAGTATTAGTGCGATGAAAAAATACAATACAGAAGTCCGGCTTGAGTAAATACTTTAGATCCATGTGTTTATTAGATGCCCAAACACAGCACATTTGATTATCGTACTATTTGGGAGGATTTTACTGTTCTGAAAACTTATTACAACTGCAATCACTTTGTTCTCCGTCTCAGTGATCACGAGGTAAACAGTGGAGTAATTACTGTGTTTGCATCAAGTCTCTGGGCTTGGAGAATGAGCAGAAGGTCACTAGGGGACATCTGTGGCCATTCTTTTATACTTCAATTCACTTCATTTCACTTTAAAGTCAGTGGAATTAGTTTGTGGTGCAGAATGAAAACAAACGTCCAGTACACAGTGTCAGCAGCTCAACATATTAACAGTAACACATTACACAATAAGTAATGATAATATGTCTACGCAATGAATTATACCTATGTGGTTTTTAGTTTAATGTTTACAGGTTTGTTCATCTCCATTTCAAACCTGCCTCCTAACAGGAGTGGGATCAAACCAATCAGATTGCTTGACACAAAGACCAATTACATCATGAATGATGTAATGATGTAATTTCACCTTTACAAAGTAATCAACTGGGACTGTGCATTTGAATTTGATGAGTTGTGTTGTCGGAGGACGCTGCATTGTGTTGCTGCAAAACTGAGCCCAGTTCAACTCTTTTTCTGGGGTAGATGTATGATTTTGCCGTGATTTACGCAGCAATCGCCTTGTAACCGTGGTAACACATATGCATTAACACATGAGTGCAGCGAAAGAGCTCAAACAGATGTGTGTCGAGGTGTGTCGGTCAAGATGCTGCTTCAACCGCCAGTTCTCATTATCTTATCATCAGTAATTTCTCCTTTGTGACACCAGAGAACATAATGAATGCACAAGATTCATAAGGTGCTGAACTTCATATTTGCACAGACAGAAGTCTGTGGATTCTCTCCCCTTATGTTTAACAGGAAAAGATTAATTCATGGCATGTGATTATTAGAATAAAATCCAAATCTATCCTATAGGGGAGGATGGGAGTAGGCCGACAGGGAAGGAGCAGAAATAAAATCAATCTCTAAAACTAAGGTATGAGTTCAAGAAACATCAAAAAACTCCCCGCTCACTTTTTTTTTTTTTTTCTTTTTTTGCACGCACCGTTCGTTGTATAATAAGCGTCTGGAGCTTGTTTATAAAAAGCAAATGGTGCATTCAAATACCAGAAGATTACAGCTGCCAGAAAACAAAGGGACTTGTGTTCCTTTGAAACACTGTTTTATAAGGGATTAAAACAGAAGTTTCCATCAGATGAGCTGGTGAAGCAGGGAGGAAAATATGGAGGAATGGGAAGTATTTACAGCAGAGGAGAGAGAGAAGAGAGAAGAGAGCGTCGGTGGACGAGGGAAGCCAATCAGTTTGTTTCATTGTCTTTCCAAAACACAAGCTGAGTCTCAATTAAACACTGTTATGAAGGACATCAGAATCACTGCAATCAGTTAAATATTGCGACTACAAATTAACTGTAATTTAAAAAATGGTGCCGCCACTGCTGGAGAAATTTTCTTTTCTTTGACCCACGAAAGAAGCGATCCTTTTCATCTGCTCGCTCTTTTCTGCCCTGCTATACTTTTCTCTGTTTGCAGAGGGAATAATGAACATCTCTTTTCACCAACAATGCTCTCTCTTCCGAGCTCTCTCTGCTCCTTCATCTGTTTCACCTCTCGTCCCCCCTTTGGGTAATTAATCCTCCATGCTGTCGACGCTCAATTTTCTTCCCATCTCAGTCCTTCTTTCTCCTCATCTTTTTCTCGGTCGCTGTCTGTTTGTTTCACAAGTGATCTCTGATGGTTTTTCTCCTTTTGTCTTCTGTCCTATATTTACACCTCTTCTCTTTACCCTCAGATTCTCCGGTTTAACGTTACATTTTCATTTGACTGAGGAGTAGAGGGAGGGTGAACATCAATCCTCCATACCTGGGATAGATGAGAATTTATCACCTCTAATTATCTATATTTTATTAACTGCAGGGATTTACAGAGCAGAACCTCTTCCACTATCACCATCATCAGTATTATCATGGCAAGAGAGATAACTGTTTTAAGTTTAACTGTTTGACAGATTGGAAAATATTATATATAACTATAAAGCAAATCAAGGCTTATTTACATCTTTTCATTTAACAATGTGTCCTTGATTTTAGACACAGGTAAATTAAAAAAAAAAAAAAAAAAGCTCATTTCCATCTGGTAACCATCAGTTTTACTGTCTAAAATAACAACTGTCACCAGTGAATGTTATTAGCTGTAGCAAGCAGGTGTTAGCTAATTAACACTGACTTTGTCTGAGTTGAAAACTACTTCTCCAGCTGACTCATTTCAAAACAAGATCCCTGTAAAAGGGTCTTAAATATGCACTCGAAGCTAGAACGTCCTCACCAGTTCGTGATTCATGTAGAAGACATTGAAATGAACAAGAAGCACTTGTTATATAACACAACCCTGTTTGGTTGCTTATTATACAAAAAAAAAACCTGCTTGGAGAAGTAACACAGACGTTCGATTTATGCTTCAGTGCTAATATTTCCACACTGTGTGTTTCATGTCAGGGATGACGTCCAGTACATTAGTTGGGTAGTCAACATGTGCAGCTAAGGTTGGAGCAGACAATGTCTTTTTGGTGTTTTGCATTTTAAAAAAGCGCTGCTCTCTAAACTCCTTGTATATTGAGTATCTTTCATACTGCAGCTCCATTCACACCAGTTGGGCTTGTTGAGAGATCCAAAGCTTGACAGGCCTGCTGTGCCTAGTTACGGTTGCTAAGATGTGATTGGACAGCTGACTGTTCAGCCGAGGGCTTTAGCAGACAGCCGAAAGCCATACACCATGTCATTATCTAATCAAGTTTCTGGTGAGCCTGGCAGGTGTCCATTATGACTCTCTCTGAAAATGTAACATTATTTAATGATTGGTGGGAGTTAATTTTGCATGATGAATAGTCTGGTAACATCAGAGTTCAGGTCCCTGGGTTCTTCCCTCCCCCCCTTAGGTGTGGTCAATGGACGGCTACTATAAGGGAAGGCGTGTGTTGGAGTACAGGACGATGGGGGATTTCACCAAGGGCCAAAACTTTGTGCAGCATTTGTTGCCCCACCCCTGGGCAGGAACCGGCCACGTGGTCTACAACGGGTCACTCTATTACAACAAGCACCAGAGCAACATCTTGGTAAGAGACTGGCTGCAGTATGGCGAGGATTAACAGTTTGATAGTCAGATGACCGGAGTGAGACATGGATGTATCTGTCTTCCCAGGTTCAGTACCATTTCCGCTCTCGCAGCGTGTTGCTCCAGCGCAGCCTGAGTGGAGCCGGATACAACAACACCTTCCCCTACAGCTGGGGAGGCTCCTCTGACATCGACCTCATGGCTGATGAGACGGGACTCTGGGCCGTCTACACCACCATCCCAAATGCTGGAAACATAATGGTACGGTTTGCCCCCACGGCTGCTCCTGCATACTTGTGATAACTAAACAAAATAAAAGGCAAAGAAATTGAAGGTGTTTTCCCACTGTATTTTAAAATTAAAGTTACTGCTGTCAGCAGGTTTGCTTTACCTTCCAGAAGTCATAAACCCCCATGGTTCTTAAAAATCCATTAAAAGAGCTGACAGAGACATTGTTGCATGGAACAATGTCATCTAACATAATGAACAGCGTGTGTAGTGCAGTTTCACCCAACATGATTTTAATATACGGCTAATTTTCTCCATTACTGCGCTCTTGTTACAACCCCCTGCATATACCTAGGGGACAAAAAAGGGTGCATGTGTGTGTGGTCCAGGTATTACTCATATTGTGGGGACCTAAATGTGTTTACACAGTCACATTGTGGGGACTTGTCCTCGTTTAAGGGGACAAAAAGCAAGTCCCCATAACGTAAAGCATTACATTTTAAAGTGAAGACATGTTTTAAAGTGAGGTTAGGTTTAGGTTTAGGTTAACTTTAGGGTAAGGCAAGCAGTAGTCATGGTTAAGGTTAGAGTAATACTCCAGGAAATGAATGTAAGTCATTGTCTCTAATGTGATGGAGACACGACTGTGTGTGTATGTGTGTGAGTGAGTGAGCGAGAGAGAGAGAGAGAGAGAGACATAAATCTAAATACTGATTGATGGGTTTCAATAAAATGCAAACAATTCAATAGAAAGTGGAAAGTCTTTGCAAAAAGCAAAATAATAACACAACACAATTCTTCCATCTCCAAAAATTTAATTACACCCCAAAGAAAGTAAAAATATTGACCTCCCTGTTTCATCAAACAGGGAGGGAAAAAATGCAGGATGAAATAAAATTGCATCCCCCCTCTTTTCACTGAAGATACAACAGACCTACGGTAATGAACTGTTCCCCTCGTCAGGTTTCCATCCAAATTTAGCACAAATTTACACCAAATTTCCAGAAAATCTGGAAAGCAAAATGTGAATTAATGTGCATGTCTACCCACTACTGTTGTGCAAACATTAGGAAGCCATGGCAATGATTCTCCAGTCAGAAGAAAAGGATGTAACAACATGACCAATTAGGAGCTCCAGTCAAACCTCAAGCAAAAAAAGAACAGTGTTAAAAATGTGAAGGAAACATGGCACATCTTAGTCTCCTCACTGCTGCACACAGACGTGGTGTTTGTCTGCTGCGGCTTAGTCTCTGCAGCAGAAGCTTTAGAGAACGTTTAAGTCACATGCTTCCGGTATGCCATGTTTTATTCAGTGCGTCTGTTCCCATTGCTTTGTCACATTTGGCTGTCATCAGTACATCCAGTTTTCTGTCTGAGCTAAATATGAAAAATGTGTCTGATCTTTATTTATATGCATAAAAACAGGTGGATTCGTTGTAAACTGATTGATGTTTTTCGTATTTGTGCATAGCGTGTGATTAAGTGCACTTAGTTGTAACTAGAGACAACAAATATCTGGACACATGCAAAAGGCCTCTTGTCATTCAGATCGACAAACATGGGATTTAGAAACAGGATTTAGCATTGCAGTTGTCTCATACGACAGCAGCTCACCTCCGCAATCCGTCTAGGTCGGACTGTCTGTGTTAGCTGATATTTGATCTTTTGATGTCTGTGACTGACTCTCTCCTCTCTCTCTCTCTCTCTCTCTCTCTGTCTCCAGGTGAGCCGCTTGGACCCTCGCTCGCTAGATGTGCTCCAGAGCTGGGACACGGGGTTTCCTAAGCGCAGCGCAGGAGAGGCCTTCATGATCTGCGGCACCCTGTACGTCACCAACTCTCACCTGGCCGGGGCCAAGGTCCACTTCGCCTACCACACCAACTCCTCCACATACGAGTACACCGACATCCCCTTCCACAACCAGTACTCCCACATCAGCATGATGGACTACAACCCCAGAGAGAGAGCGCTGTACACCTGGAACAACGGACACCAGGTCCTCTACAACGTCACGCTGTTTCACGTCATCCGGAGCGACGGATAGATCCACACGTAGGAAATAGTAGAAAGAAAATACAAATATAGTAGCGATGGAGGAGGTGGGTTGTTGAAGGGTGCTGCAACTTGCAACACACATACAGACACACACACACACACACACACACACACACACACACACACACACACACACACACACACACACACACATACATGCCATGGTCATTCATGTCAACAGGAAAATGAGTACTATCAGTGTTTGAATTTGAATGACTTCTAGACTGCAAAAGCTCACTGAGCTAATAACTAGACACAATACACGGTTGTCGAACACCAGTCTAAAGGTCACAGACAAGAGTATTCATCACAGCCAAGATGAAAATTAACTGCCTGTGCTGCAGGGATGCTGATAGAAAGAAGGAAGTCAGACAGTTTGAGCTCATCCGTATTCTGTTACGTTTCATTCCACCCGTGTCTCAAGAAGTCATTTTGGAAGTTGAGGTCAAATTGACGGGGGGAAAAAAAAAAGAAAAAGAAAAAAGAAAACAGAAAACGTCAAGCTCGTCAGACCTCAAGCTATGACGGCCGCCCTGACGGAGATATTCTGGGTTTGTGATGTGATCGTGGACGTATTCAGTCAGCATGGTTGTTCATTCAATAAACATTACTGTCAAATGTTGCCAAGACTGTTGTTTTCTCTGTTGTTGGAGCAGGAGGAGTGGTGACATGCGTCTTCATTTTTTTACCTGGTTTTTAATAAAAACCTGCATGTCTGTCTGCATGTGGGTTTAAAATGGACAACATAGGTGTGATTCTGTGTTTGGTCTGTGCTACAACCTTTTACACAACGATAAATAAACAAAACATCTAACTAAATAAAAACGAGTAACTCGCAAATCAGACAAGACTCTTGTCCAAATCTAAATAAGGGAGGTAAGTGGCAGCTTCAGCCAGACAGAAGACCTAACAGAACAATATATAAGGCTTACCTCACTGAAAGAAATCCAAAAATAGGGCTGCCAGTGACCTTCACACCAAATCAAGAGTGAAATAATGACAACATAACAAAAGGTCTTCCTTCTAGCGGGGAGATGGTCTTTCTTTCTCTTTTTCTCTCTCTCTCTCTCTCTCTCTCCACTCTGCCTCTGCACTTTGCAGGCATCCAGCCTTAATCAGCTCAGGTGCCCTCTATTGCCTATCAGGGCCTGGAGAGGAGAGAATGAGATGGGAAGAGCAACAAAACGGGGTGAGGAAACGCCAACAGAGGGCCTACACCTGACAGGCAGGTAAACGCAACTCACCTCTGGACAAGGAGAACTTTCATTTCACCTACTTAAAACTAGCCCCAGATGCTCATCAGTACGTGCATTGCAGAGCTAGATAGCAGCCAGTCAAGTCAGTCTCACTTTATCTGCAGAGTTTGAACATTGAAGACTTTTATTCCCTGTCTTTAGTCTGAAAGACAGTGCCCCCCCCCCCAGGCAATATTAGTAACTCTGGCAAGACACCCCAAAGCCTGAGGAGAAGGTGAGCGATGTGCTGCTGCAAAAACATGTTTTGACCAAAATGCCCACAGAAAAAAGCCAATATCAGTTGAAGTGTACGCTTTATTTTGAATATTTTCTCTGGTTCATCTTGTATTCCTACGCACAAGTGCACTTAAGTTTAGCTCTGACTCAAACAGCAAAACACATTTTGGTGGCTAGCTCATCCACAACAGTTCATTGTTCAGCTTCTTCGCTGGTACTCCCAGCCGCGTCCCTAAACTGGTGGGGCACCGATCTGAAGCTATTGCAAGTTAGTACCTCACACAACCCCATGTCAAATAACTCAACTATAAATAACAATCACTTTAAGGACAAAAACAGAAACAACATCAACAACGAAAGAGGGAAACCAGAAGGGTAACCGAACAGTTTCTGATATAAGAAAGGCAGTAACAATTACAGATATACCGTACTTAACCATTCCTGTCAAGGTTAGGTTGGTCCCTCCGGACATTTACCCACTAAAACTTCCCCATGGTTCTTTAACCCTATCCCTTTTTCCAATTCAGTCTTCCCAGCGTCTTTTCACACACAACAGTTCATCATTTGTTCCCTCCACATTTTCAGAGAAAGAGTTTGAGGCCCCTTCCAACATCTAAGAATCAACCGGGCACAGGTTGTTAAGCCGGTTGTTGATACTCTAAAAGTAAATTTACTCAACTGTGAGACTGCAATTTTGTCCCCAAGGAGACGCAGCGCTGCTATAATGCATGCATGTACGTCCCTTACTGTGTTTGCACATTTCCAACATAAACTATCTTCAATTAGCCCCAGAGGCATTTTCGGGTTGTCTGTCTGTCCGTACGTCCGTGTGTGTGTTCGTCAGTTCCTCCATCCGTCCATCCGTCCCGTTCTTGTGAACATCACATCTCAGTTATGCCCTGAGGAAATTTCTTCAAATTTGGCAGAAATGTTTCACTTGAACTCGAGGATGAATTGTTTAGATGTTGGTGGGCAAATGTCAAAGTTCTTGTGAATGCACATCTGGCCTTTATTCAATGCTGTAAAAGGAAAGGGAGATTGTGACCATATTTCCTGCAACTTGGCTGGTTGGCGGAGTTATACAACCACCAGGCGGTAATTGTAGTCGAGTCTTTTTGGGGTATAATAATATCTATGGAGTATTTCATATTGCATAAATTTGCCTCTGGCTTCTCTGAATATATTCCCCATTGTTGGAAAGGATCCCCTCCCATGTTTCTTCATTAAGTGTATAACCCAAGTCTTTTTAAAGCCATTGTTATTTACCCAAGGGCATAGCTCATACCACTTTGATGCTTGATGAAATATTGTTGGTAGTTGGAGGTAGTTCTCTATTGGGCTGTTTATGTTGATGGAAGTTTCTCTTTAATACAGATACGGCCATGTCCCACCAGATTGAATTTGTCCTTCATTCTGTTACATGACGGGAAATCGTTCTCTTGGAATAAATCATTTAGTATTCTGACACATTTTCTTATCCACTGAGCCCAGTAAAATGCATGTTCATCTATTTTTATTTTCAGCTTGAACCACTTGGATGCATATTTTTGATTATTATGAGAGATCCTAAATTTTTTGATGCACTTCTTACCAAACTATCTTTGACTGTGCTAGAATGGGATTCATCATATTATTTTTCTCCTTTTTTATATTTGTGCTAGGACCTTAATAAGTCCCTGTTCAATCACGATCCAGTCCAGTGTCTGGCCAATTTAGCCATTTCAAAATTAATACTGTAGTATTTAATGTTTGGTAGTGATAGTCCTCCCCCCTTCTTTTGGCTGACAGTATATGAGTTCTAGCTCCATCCCAACAAAAGTGTTTTATAATATTGGTATATCTTAGTAGTAATTGTTGTGTAATACCTAATGGCATAATTCCAGTTCAGTAATTTATCTGTGGGGCTAAAGCCATCTTTATGTTGTTCACTTTTCCCCATAACATCGAGTGTAACTTACTCCAATTATCCAGATTAATTTTATTTAATTATTTCTTCTGTGTGTGGGTTCAGTTCTATCCAAAAATATTTTATACCTTTTGGCAACCATTTAAAATTAAATGCAGATGGTAGGTTAGGGGAACAATTTTGAGACACTGACATAGCTTCTGATTTGTGCCAAGTAAATTTGTAATCACTTTGGAATACGCTTCAGAAACGTACAGCGCTGATACAGAGTTGGCAGCGTCTTGACTCAGTACCAACATGTCGTCAGCATGAAGGAATAACGTGTGTTCCCCTGCCACCTCCAAAAGTCCCTTCGTTTAACGTTGCTCCATAACCTGTGAGCTACACGAGGGAGGGCGGCTAATCACACACACGTGACTATAAATATGAAGTGAACACACCAACTTTGTCAAGAGGAAAAAACAGTCTGACAATAACAGCGCTGACACTGACGTCCCATAGTCCTTCACAGACTGTGGACAGATGAGAAGGACATCACATTGGTTCACACTGACTCTCGCTCTTTTGTTTGGAATATCTACACTCTGTCCACATGAATCACACACAGTTTTAACACAGTTTAACATTCAGCAGAGCGACTACTTTTCAAACAAACACTTTCCATCCCTTGGACATGTTTGACTACCAGGTTGAAGGCTTTGAGAAAAACTGTGCATTATTGTCAGATATGTAGGTGTTTCAGCACAGTAACAGGACTGTAATTGGTGTAAATGGCATTTGAGGAACCGTCCTCAAATGCCATACTGTATAGCAATGGCATTGCCATGTAGACAAATATGTAAGAGCCAATTCATGAGCTAAGGGCCACCTGTTCAATCGTGGCGTATACAATTGCCGATGACAGTTACATTTTGTAAGAAATATGAAGCTGGGTGCTCCACTCAGAGAACAGGACCTGCCCCGTCATTCTCAAAATAAAACACTACAGCTTCACTTGTTCCCAAACAGCAGCTGACCAGCAACGTCGCCTTAATAGATGACAGTGTGCAAACTTGCACTTTTCCAAATTTATTGTTATATTCAACATTAGACAAGCGCTTTATAAACAACTAAGTGCTGTAGACAGAACAGTGTGTCCCTTTCATGTGGAGTTAATGGCTCCTGACAATAACATTTCACTGGACCTAATTTTGTCACACAAAGCAGTACACAAAAGGCACTCTCTCTGTCTCTCTGAAGACACATTCAGTGTTAATTGTGAGTTTTCCTTTTGTGGTGGTGCTTTCTACATTGGCTCTAATTGATCCCGGCAGTGTTATGGATGATGTGAGCTCAGGGCAGAGTGTTGTTTTGAGTTCTGGTCAAGCACAGCTGCAAAGGCTAACACACTCATTATTATTTAAGTGACTATTATGAGCTGAAAAGGGAGGGAGATGTCCCCCGAGATTAGTCAATACTGTTTGCTGAGACCAACAAACTCACAAAAACACGCACACACACTCAGATATGCTGATGTGTAAGGTCAGAGTAGAGACACACACACACACACACACACACACACACACACACACACACACACACATAAAAGAAGTATAGAGACAAAGAAGAACAGGCAGGTGTAAGATGCAGTGGTCTCATGGATGATCAGATGAACAAAATGGTGGATCGATAGAAAGCAAAGGTGGGGGGGTAAAGATGCTCTATGCTATATGTGGACACATCACAAATGGCCACGGTTGCCATGGTGATTATGATGATGTATCTAACTCCCTCGATTACAGGTCACTGCTTCGAAAACCCCATGACTCCACATCCCCCATCTATTTTCTCCCACCTGATTATTTAATTTGAGACATTTAATTAACATCATGATCAAATATGTACATCTTACTTTAACCAAACCCAAAAGAACAAATCCGAATGTCTTTATACAAACACGTTAGTAATCCTAATATCTAAGGAAACAATCCGATCTCATGTATCAATAAACTGTGAAGTTCACAACAGTTTGGGAGATTTCCTCGGTCTGAGTCATTGGTTTTCTCCATTTCCATAATTTCAGGCGACGGCCTCCAGAGAGAACAGGTGTGAACTTTATGCATCCGTTCATTTCCTTTCCAACACAGAACAAGGCGATGCGCCGATGATTACAACAGCTAAATGACCCAGAACTGGGTTATTTAAGCAATATTGGCACCAAAGGTACAGTCACATTAGTCTCCTGTTTAACAAAACAGCC